TATTTAAGAAAAGGCCTTTGACTGATGGTACCATTATCTGCTATAAAGCTCCATTAGTGGCCCAAGGCAGCAACAAGGCCTTGATTATGATGAGAGTTTTGCACCACTTATAAGGTTTGAATCGATTCGCAGTCTCTTAGCTATCGCTCTTCAGAGGAATTTAAGGCTACATCAAATAGTTTGTACCTCAGCCTTTCTTAATGGTAGCTTAGAGGAGGATATCTACATGAAGCAGCCTGAAGGATTTGTGGTAAATGGGAAACAACACTTGATATGCAGTATGAAGTAGAGCCTATACGGTCTTGAGCAGTCTTCAAGTTGATGGAATAGTGTCCTACACAAGCACTTACAGGACTTTGGATTTCAACAATCGAATAATGATCGCTGTATGTATGTAAAGCAATCATTCATAATTGGTGTTTATGTCGATGACATAGTTCTTGCCTGTGATAATGAGGAGCTCATGACAAACATAAAACAGGCATTATCTGAAAGATTTTAAGTTAGAGATCTTGGTGAATTAAATTACATCTTGGGAGTAAACATCAAGACCAGCAAGCATGGAGCAATATGGATGGGTCAATCTACTTACACAGAAAGTATCTGAAGGAGTATGAAATGGAGGAGGCAAAGCTATTAGTACTTCCGTTGACAGTGGTATAAAGTTAACAAGAGCTACAACTGATTTAGAGTTGTGTGATACTATACTACCTTATACCAATCAGCAGTTGGTAGTTTAAATTACTTAGCTACAAAGAATTGTCCTGATATTTTAATTCCTGTCACCATATGTCTCATTTTTGCTCCAAGCCCACTACTACTCACTGGACAGCAGTGAAATGAATATTTCAATATGTAACAGGAACAACTAACTATGGTTCATGGTAATAGAAGAGTTCCTCAAAGGATTTATATGGTTTCTTGGTTGCAGATTGGGCTGGAAATATTTAAGACTCCAAGTCTACCTCAGGCTATTGTTTTGAGATTGGTGATACTGTTGCAAGCTGGAGAAGTAAGACACAGCTGTGTGTTTCCCTATCAACAGCTGAAGCCGAACATGTAGTTTTATATTTTGCAGCACAAGAAGCAGTTTGGTTAGAGAGTTGTACAAAGAGCTACTTAGAAGACTGACACATCCAACTGTTGTTTTTGAGGACAACTAGGCAGCAATAAGCATGGCTAAGAACCCACAGTACCATGGTAGAACCAAACATATATCAATGAAGTATCACTACATTAAAGAACAAGTCGCCAACAAGACAGTTAAATTTAAGTATGGTCAGTCTCATAAAGTATTGTCCGACTGATAGGATGACAGCAGATATCTTCACAAAAGGTCTCGAGTCTACTAAATTTATCCACCTGAAAAACTAATTAGGAATTAAAAATATGTCAACAGTCTGTGAGCCAGGAGGAGTGTTGGTATAGCTCTAGACTTTGATTGTCAATCTTTAACGTACACGTACTTGTGTATGGTTTTTATGTCTGTAACCACATTAATTCTCGCTGATGCATGCACATTATGTAATGTTGTGTAACCTTAGAACTTTGTAGACCCTGGGTTTTATGTATATGTATCATGCTTCTTATTAATTTTTGTTGTTGTTCAGTTGTCGTTCACTAGTTGCTTAGATTTTGTTATTGTTAGTCAAATAATGTAACAAGATGATTCCAGCATCTTAGTACAACAACATTAGTCAAGTCTTTTTAATTGCCTGGTATAGTGTAAAGAAAATTATAATAAATAGGAATGTTCTAGTTCAACTATTTATGTATCATTGGTTGGGATATATTCACGGCTGCAATTATTCGTTGTCATAAAAAAGCTCAATTAACAACCATGTTAACTGTTAGAGTGTTGCCATGACAATAAGGCCACACATTTAATGTTCAGCTATTCCTCTGTTCTTATGCAGCGTTACTGGAGCCATTTACCAATAGACCTTTTCACATTATGCGACTGGTGGAATGTTAATAAGATGTAAATTGTATTCATGATAGGGTGCGGTCAGATTACAGGGCCCACTGGGGGGAAAGATTATAGCTGTGCCTATGGTGGAGATGCCTAAAAGCTGCTGTTTAGTTAAATGCAATGACTGGTTAGGCAAAAAAAGATAATTAAAAGTCTTTAGATCCCTTTTAAAGGATGAGGAATGCTGTGAAAGATGGACAGCAGCCTTAAGACGTTGCAAATCTGCCATAATGTTGCTAGAATCTTTACTGAGACTTATAAACTGAAGAAAAAGGCTTGGAATGTAGTCTGGATGAGTTGAGACACTGTCAAGTTCTCCTGCAGATTGATTAAATAAGAGAGTACTTGGACTACATGCAAAATTGTCTTACCAGTATACTGTTTAAGCTCCAGTAATGCATATTACAAATGCTCATCATTTATCATGGAGCTCTTCTTGGCTGCAATGCTCTCGTCTCACAGCTAATGTCCATCTTTTACAGCATTCCTTATCATTTAGAGGGAATCTAAAGACCTTTAATCCCTTTTCTTGCCCAACCAGTCATTGCATTTAGCTAAACAGCAGCTTTTAGGCATCTCCACCATAGGCACAGCTATAATCTTTCCCCCCAGTGGGTGTAATCTGACCGCACCCTATCATGAATACAATTTACATCTCATTAACATTCCACCAGTCGCGTATCGTGAAAAGGTCTATAGCGAGTCCTCTATCTGTTAAAAGTGTAACTGACATGTTTTTTTGTGGTATTTTTTTATTGACCTAACATGATCATATGATCATAAAAATGCTATATGGAAAGTTGTATTGTCTGGAAAAAATTTTTCACAGAGATATGAGCCTTCAAAATTGCTCATTTTGCTTCCTGTCATTTTACATCCTGTCAGGGGGTGTGGCTAAACGTGATGTCATGCAAGGCTTATAGTTGACTTTTACCATTTACTGCAATGTAATTTTAGTAGATAATATCTTTGTTAGACTTCATTGTATACCTTGTTGCTTTATTCCTGTTGTAAAAATGATATTTTGTGCTTCTAATTCATAATAGTCAGAAGACAACTCAGTCATTATTCCTGGCATAGCTTGCAGCTATAGCCTACTTTTGACAATCCATAATGAAGCTGGTCTTGTGTGGTTCATCAAACTTGATGTACTAATTTTTTTACCAGTGTTAGAACACAAGAATGAACTATTAAATATACAAAATACACAAGAACAGCTTTATTATGGCTTGTCAAAAGTAGGCTATGAGCTGCAAGCTATGCCAGCCATAATGACTCAGATGTCCTCTGACTATTATGAATTATAAGCACAACTTTTACAACAGGATTAAAGCTGCAAGGTATAAAATGAAGTCTAACTGAGATAGTATCTACTAAAATTACATCAGTCAATTGTAAAAGTCAACCGTAAGCCTTGTATGACATCACGTTTAGCCACACCCCCTGACAAGATGTAAAATGGCAGGAAGGCAACTTTGAAGGCTCATATCTCTGTGAATAATTTTTTCCAGACAATAAAACTTTCCATATACCATTTTTATGATAATATGGTCATGTTAGGTCAATAAAAAAATACCCCAAACAGTCATGTCAGTTACACTTTCACTTCTTGTATGGACCTCAAACTCAGAGTTCTTTCAGCCTCTTATTGCTGGTCCACGTAGTGGTGATAATAAACCACACCCAAGTCAGAAAACACTAACTAAAATTTGCGGAGGGTCCCAAGGTGCGTTGAGACAGTACTGTAAAGAACGGGTAAAAACAGCTCCAAGGAGACCAAGGCTTAGTAACACAGAGTACAACAGTTCAAGAACACTGCAGCAAGGTGCTTTTCTTCAACATTGTGCTGTTTTCAATTAAAATAACACCTACGTTTCCTTGGTTTCTAATTGAAATTTTTTTGACTGAAATAATTGCAGCCACAATATATCCTGACTTACTGTACCTTCTGCAATCCAACGTCATTCCATTTTCTAAAGAGAACATTTGGTTTTCAAATACACATCAATTCCTCGTGTGTTGATTGACGCTTTCTCTCATGAATTAAGAATGCATTGAGAGCTTTTTAATACAGTGTATCAAAACAGAAGTGTTGAAAGATCAAAGTCTCCCAACTGAAATTCGTGTCAAATGACAGAAGCTCCAAAACATTATTGCCATTGTATCTAAACCACAAAGAAGTACTAAATTTGGAAAAGTTTTGACAACTTTCACAAAACCATTGATGTCGTATGCCAGTTCATGGAGGTTATTTAGAGTATCGTGACTCAATCAATATTTTTGTCCTTCTTTAGATTGAGATTCGTGATCTGACAAGAATTACAATGTGCCATTTCTGGCTTTTTACATGTAGATACAGCTTCCTTATAAGTGTTACTAGGAAGCTCAGTAGAAGTTTAAAGGTTGAGCAGAACAGAAGGAGGTGTTCTATAAAAAGAAATTAGTGGTACTCTTTGACATTTCTATGTGGATATTGTACAGCACTTTTTTCATTTCCAATACAGGGTATGAGAACTAGGTGACTTTTGTCATCATAAATGAAAAAATAGGCGAGTTTATTCAAACAAAGGTCTTGTCCAGAAGGTAATACCACAGAATAGTGTATCATTTACTCAGGGGCAGATCTAGGTTTAAACCCATGGGGGGGGCCAATAAATTATTCATGAAAGGTGTGGTCCATAATTTAAAGAGACACACCCACTGAGTATTATTATTATTTTAAAACAAAACAACATGCATATTCTTATCTGTAGCAGCAAATTCATGAATTATGTTGTCATCTTGTAGTTCGTAAGCTACTTCTTTCTCAATGGATAGTATGGAAAGATCTGACAGCCAATCTTCAGTCATTCTCGTCCTTAATCTACTCTTGATTCTCTTCATGGTGGAAAAGGAGGGCTCACTCTCGGCACTTGTTACAGCAATAGTAAGTGCAATTCTAACCAGCTCACAAATTGTCAGGTGAGCAGGCAGACGCATCAAAAGATATGATCCAAGATCAGCCAGTAAAGTTACATCTAGGTGAAACTTAGAAAAGTGTATTTTTAGAAGCCGACATTCCACTTCTAGAGTATCTGTTCCAATGCCATACTCTTGCAAAGGCCTTCAGGTAATTGAAAGATAAAAAAATGGAAGAGGTTGGTGTACAAGATGACACACCATCAATTATATCTACATTCTTCTCATCAAACCAATTGCTTAACTCAGCTAGGAACTTGTTAAGAATAGGGAAGTAAAAGTGACATCTCATGTCTTCACTTGTTGACACAGAATCACAGGATCCAACAGTTTTAAGAACTACACACTCCTCAAGTCGACTAGGTCGCTTTCTTCTTCCTAAAGTCCCCCTTTGACTGTGGGAGTTTATGATGATGTCATGCAGTTTGGCAACCTCTACTGCATATTCGTACAGCTTATTCAAGTATTTAGTTGTACGATATTCTGTTAATAGTGACTTGGTTGCTAAAGCAAGCTCTGAGGCTAAAGAGAGATTAATACTGGAACATTGTAGTTTGTCTGAGAGCTGTTTTGTACATGTCAGGATGCGATCGAATGTAATTGAAGAGATGAGAAAGGAGAATGAATGTAGTTGGTGGTATAAACCTTGTGCCTCTATGGCTTTGCTGGCATCTTGTGATTCAGCAACTTCCTCAACTGTGAGCAAAATAGAATCAAAAGTACAAGACGCAGCATTTACAGCAGCATAGCGACACACCCATCGAGTATCACTTAACCTATGTAGCTTAAGTGGTTGTTTGCCAGGATGAAGATGCTTCTGCTTCTCAGTGACTATCACATGAACCTTTGATGTTGATATAAAAACATATAGTGCTTCTAGTAGCACAAAGAACTCAGATGCTGACTGTACTGACATAACTGAATCAACTAGAACTAGATTCAAAATATGTGCGTGGCAATGAATGTACACAGCATTTGGAGCAAATGCTCTTACTTGAGTTTGCACACCAGTGCAATGTCCACTCATAACATGCTCCATCATACCCCTGGCTTACTAACTTATTCACATCAAAATCAAATCGTGTTATGAGCTCTTTGATGTACTTCGATAAATGAAATGCGTCGAGATATTTAGCATTATGAAATGCTAAGAAATGCTCATGAACTTGTCAGTCATTGATATCAAAGTACTTCTCAACAAATGACATTTGCTTCTGTTTTGCTAGGCCCCTGCTTTTATCCACAATGATGCTATAATAACCAGCTTCTCTTAACTTGTTACAAATGTGGAGTCGAACATTATTTGCTAGAATATGTATCAACTCATCCTGGATGTTATGTGAAGTGAAAGTAGCATTCCTGGGACCATCCCATAGTCTGGCATTAACAACTGGATCATGCTCACTAACTAAATTGAGTAACTCCAAGAAATTACCTTTATTGCCAGCAGACTCAACCTCTCTGTGTCCTTTTAGAGCAATTACTTGAAAGGAGCAAAATTTTAGAAAATGCAAGACTGTCTTGATGTAATGTCTATTTCTTTGTATTTGCTCTTGTCTCTCTGAATTGAGAGTAGAAGCTATTGATCTCTTCTGACTTTTGTTAGTGGTGTAGTGATTCCAAGCAGACATAGCATGCTGATGTCTCACAGACGTATCATGCTTCTCTAACTTACCATTCTTTCCAGGAGCATTCTTCCAATTAGTGAATCCAGTTGTTACAAAAGGAGTTTTACTTTGGTGGTGCCCAGTAGAGAAGAAGCGACTTGCATAGCAATATGCAGCATTCCTTTCAATGGAGTACTCAAGCCAATGATAAGTATCGAACCATAATGGATTAAATGACCGAAGCCTGTTATTAGTGAAAGTAGATGGAAATGTATGGTTTCAAGGTTGTATGGGCCCATCATGAGTACTGTTGGCTATATCTGAAGGAACTGTGTCAGAACTAGTATTTCAAGGAGAAGGAGCTGTTGCAGAACTAGTACTTGAAGGAGAAGCAGCTGTTGTGGAAACAATAGTTGCAGAAGCTGTGGCAGAAATAGTAATTGAAGGAGTTGTATGGGCAGAACTACAACTACTATGTGACGTATCACTGATTGTATGTGATTGAGATACCACATGTTTAACATTTGCTTCAGTAGGTCCAGGCCCACTAAGGCAACTACTACTATTACCATGATGACTTACTTTAAGTGGTCTTGGACCTGTCATAATTATTCAGTGAATGCTATTATGTTCAAAACTTACCTCTAACTAAATCAAAATTAAATAAAGATAATTGCTTTGACACTGTTATAGTACCAAATGTTATTTTACCAAGCCCTGCCTTGTTTACATAATGAGACCACACAGCAATACACTGGTGAGTGGCTATAGACTATAGTCTGGTGCATGCATGGTATAATTATAATAACTTTCATTTCTTAATTAATTGGTAGGTGGGGTTACAAAAAATTTTTGGGGGGGCCTGGCTCCCCCTGGCCCCCCCCCAGATCCGTCCTGCTTTTACTAGGCTAGATTAATGTTTAGAATCAAATTGGTTCCTTTTTCATACCAACAGTATCCGTCTACTTTCCAATCATCTACGGAATAAAGTTAGTATGTAATTGTATAATACCTTCATGGATGATGAAATTATTTTAAGGCTATCCCAGGCCAAGTGTCGATACGCAATTAAAATAATATTATTACAAAACTAATGTGGAAAAATAATACATTATGCTTCAGTATTTTGATGTTATAGCTACCTTTAGAACCACAGATGACTTCCTTCACCAAGGCTGCCGCACATACAAATATACTTCTACTTTGGGATTTATTCTAGGAAAGGAAGGAGAAAGTGCAAAGCTGGCATTGTTAAAAAGTTGCAGAACAACCTCAGTACTTAGCTCTTTTGAAAGACAAAGAGCAATAGACCTTAGCTCTACTTCCATGTGTGCTAACATGGTACGTTAAACCTTTGACATGGTACCATCAGTATAAGGTCAGCTAATAGTTTGTATATTATTGTCCAGCAGTCCAAAATTTATACCCAAGATGTGATCCGAAACCAACATACCGTATCTGTAATTTTACTACGTATATTTGGTCCAGCCTGTCCGAACTTCATACCCTTGCAGCAACAAGCCCTGTTTGTAGTCTAGCTACATGATTTCTCCCTTTGTAACTTGGTAGAACCACAAGCTAGCAGCTTATAACTATTGAAGCCGTAAGAAGGTCAGATAAAGCTTACTAACTCTCTTCTTTGCCAGTAAAACAAGTTTTCAAACTTTTATACACATAAAAAGGCATGCATGACTATAGTCACACATATGCAATCATTAAGGTTGTGGGTGTACAACTATAGTCACGCGTATGCATCAGAGTCATTGCTCTCTACCCTGTCTGTATTATTATTATAAGTATTATTAAAGCAAAAGTGAAGGGACTGTGCCACGTGTTCCCCTATATTTCCGTACCCAATAATTATGCCACTGAATTACCCATTGAATAACATGGTCTTCTAAACAATGAAGTTTTGGTTGAAAAGTTGCAAGAGCAAAGTTGGTCCTGTAATATTCTACAAATTGTCAAAGTAAAACATCTAAAGTACTAGTCAGCGAAATAAATTGTAGCTACATCAATATTTCTTGTACCTAGCATAATGATATCTTCTTGTGTAAAACAGGCTTTACTATTGTATCAAATGAATACAGAAAATGGAAAAGTAGGAAAAATGTATAAAACAAGCGTAACAGTTCCTATAATTGTTTTCAGCACCTTGCAAGAATAACTGGATTTTATCACGACTTATAGAGGCTCTCTTTACCTTTTAATGCTTCTAGAGAAGTCTTTAGACAGTAACTCTATGTTGTCTAACGGTTAGAAAGCTCTTCACAGATCCCATGTTTAAGGCGCCATTTTGTTTGTTGTGGCCACTGCCACTGCGAAATAGAGCAAGGGCGGGTGGTTGCTAAGGCTTATGAATTTTCTCCAATGCAACACGTATAGAAGAAATGGAAAGTGTTGACATACAGATATACAGATATATATATATATATATATATATATATATACAAACATTGCATGTGGGTGAAATCAATAATAGGACAAACCTGGGGGCTACACCACCAAGTCTTTACAAGAGGGTACTTGCAAACTGGTGTTGTAAGCAATGTTACACCACTGCATGAATGATATTACCCAAAAGCATTCTAATTATCCACACAGGGTACTACATGATAACCTATGAAGCTATGTCTTTCATGCAGTGGTATTGGTTTTTTTAAACACCAGTTTGCAAGTACTGTCTTGTATTTTTACTATTTCCAAATTTATTACTATTACCTTTCTGTTTGTAATGTTTTTCTATTTTACATGTTCCTATTCCTTTTAGGTGAATAGGCTAATCATTCATGCTAATCACATGCACATAAATTGAAATGGCGTAAAACCACAAACTGACGCAGTACTTCAGCTAGAATTTATCTTCCATTTTTCTCTGCCTTTGCTTGTTTTTGAAGCTACATGTCTAATCCTTGACCAAGGCTCAAAGGAATGATGTTAAAGCCACTTGAGCAGTTGTCTGGTTTAAATATTTTAGTGCTTATAAAAGAAAGATGAAAAAATGTAAAGTCCGAAGAAGTTTGCAGAAATTTAAATTTGGCCTTTTCTCCAGAAATGCTTCTGCTACATCACAGTCAACTTAAAAGGTACCAGGGGGAATTGTTTAGGGAAGCAGCTCATTTGAGCCATTTGTAAGGCTGTATAATATATGATAAAACAATTGTTTTAAAATCATAAAAATGGCCACCATCTTGCGAAACCAATCTTCATCCTACATGTAGGCTACCACCTACTTAATTCTGTCTCACATTTTGCAAGTGTCATAGCTTTTTCAAACTTCCTTTATTTGGAATGCCTTTGGTAGTAGTGCTGAGTCATAAGCCTGTGCAGCATAAACAACACTACTACATGTGTCAATGTTCTGTTCATATTAAAGCAATTTTTGAGTATCAATTCAATCCCGTTAATGTACCCTAGTATACGGTTGCCTATAAGTGAGCCACCATGTTAGGCTCATCCTTCAACATGAAATTATGCTAGAGTATTATCAAAAGAACCCCATCCTCCATGTCAAAGTTTTTTCAATGATTGTCTCTTGCTTCTTTATTTGTGATTCCTAAATAAAATGAACAATAATAATTTGAAATTAAAGATCAGTAATTCATTTTTTGTTATCATCTCTGACCTTTGCTGTAAATTGTACAATGGCATTCTGTTGAGGATCAGTTGTCGTCAGAAGTTGTAGTACAAAATATTAGTTAGCAATATTATTTGATTTGTAAATGACGTTAACTCCTCTTGCAGCGCTCTCATCGACACCTTTGCCTTTAGGTACTCGTCAAAAGAGGACTTCCTTGAGGAAGTAGAGGCATTGACCTACTTGTTAAGTGATCTGGGGTCCTTATGGACAAACCTGATAATGATAAAAGTGCAGGTATTTTACTATCTTGTATGTTTACCTGCCTAAGTGAATTATCAAAAATCTATGTCCAATTACATTCTCATACAGTTTTGAAGGCTTGTATGTTGCCACCGGCTTTTAAGTATTCTGTATTCTTTTCTGTTCAAGTCTCCAGTAATCTTTGTGGAATTTTTTGTTTTTTTGTGTTGCAAGTTTGTCTCACTTTATTGCACACCAAAGACAGCAATGCCAATCTATATTTTGTTTTTAGAAGTTAAAAAATAACCTTATACATTTACCACTTGCTCCTAACAAACCATAGAGATGGCAAAAAAGCTGGTAGTCTCTGAACATAAAATTTCCAATGCTATAGTTCTTATAATCACAATTAAAACATTTCTCTTATAAGTGTGATGCCATAATGTTTAGTACTTCCACATCGACTTTTGAATTTCATCAACATTGTCAGTGTATTCGTCAAGAACAATGTGGAGATCGGTGACAGTGTCTCGTCTTTCAAACACAACACTATTTTGCACAGAATTAGGCTTGGTTAGGTTGACAGTTAGGACATACATTTTAAAGAAGGAT